TTGCCCAGTATCCTTTTCTGTAGTGGGCAGTCCTCTATTGGAACTGCATCACCTTTCTTTAAAGATCTTCAAACATTCTCCCACACGTTCCCAACCATCCACTTTCCATTTGAAAGAGAAGACATTGCTTTCAGAAAGGAGTGGAAGAATGAATAATATTTCAGAGAAATGATCACGGGTTGGGTAAAATTTAGAGGTAGGGTTCGGACAAAGCTGTATGGAGTCTGGCCCTGGAGCATTTCACGGACTTCCTCTTGGGCTCAGCATTGTCTTGCAAAGTAGGAAGCCGGCAGATGCTTGCTGAGCCTCAGTCTGCATTAGGTGCAGCAATACAGAGGGTGCAGTGTGTGAGGCTCAGCTCCTCCAGGCTCTGCTTGCCAGGAACTCAGGATCGGGGCCATGCCAGAATGGGCTAGGAGGAGCCAAGCCCAGGGAATCCCTCAGGTTCCTCCACATCCTCACCCAGAGAGAGATGTGACAGAAAGAAACCTTCCTCTCCCTCCCAGCGGCGCTCTCCAGGATTGTCCAGGGCCCATTCTATGCTGCCCCATGGACATCTTGGAGCCACCTGAGACCTTGTGTAAAGTAAGTGGTGAGCAGTGGTGACGCCTCAGTTATTGAATGAGCTCCCCACTGATGCTCATCTGGTGCCAACTTTACTATCTTTTCTGTGCCAGGTAAAGACTGTGCTCTACTGCAGGGCATTTAATTAGTTTCTTGGGCCTGCACATTGTTAGACAGAGTCTAACAGGGTCTTCTTAATGTATAATTTTGGTTTTTCCCTCCTTTAATTGGTTTTAAATTTTGTATTGCTAACTTTTAGGATGCTTTAATTGGTATATTTTATATTGTTTTTAAGCATGGTGCTGTCAACCATTCAGAGAGGTTTTCCTGTTGGGTGGTACAGAAATTAAATTTTAAAAAATGTGCACACACCCCTCCACTGCCCACCTCAGAATGATTAAGGAGCTCACATACACTACCAACATAAATTTTTAAGCTGGCAGAGCAACAGACTTTTCTTGGGGGAGGAAACCTTAAAGGGATTTCAGAGATATATTTTTGATATAGCACTGGTTCCATGTAGGGTGGTGCTAGGTATGCAAAAGATTAGGGGCTCAGGCCCGCCGGACAAACAGCAACAACACGTATGCTCCAAAGTCTGTGTGTCTGTTTGTCTTTCAAGGATGCTTATTTGTAAAGAGAATTGTTTATCTGGGGCAGAGAAGGACATCTGATTTCATGGCATGATGGAACCTCAGAAATATTCAAGGGGTAGGCGAAGCACATTGGAACATGCGCTGGTGACTTCCTGTCTTGACTTCTGTAACGCACTCTACATGGGGCTACCCTTGAAGACGGTCCGGATACTTCAATTGGTTCAGAATAGAGCTGCCAGGCTGCTGACGGGGACTGGAGGTTATGTTCACATGACTCCAGTTCTCTGTCAGCTTCACTGGCTCCCCATTGAAATCCGGGCCCAATTCAAGGTGTTGATTATGACCTATAAAGCCCTAAATGGCTTGGGTCCTGGTTACCTGAAGGAGCGCTTACATCCATATATGCCCAGTCGCTCCCTGAGATCGGTGGGAGAGGCCCTTCTCCGGGAGCCCTCCAGGAGAGAAATTAGGAGGGTGGCTACTCGGAGGAGGGCTTTCTCAGTGGTGGCGCCTAAGTTATGGAATGCGCTCCCCAGAGAGGTCCGCCTGGCGCCGTCGTTATTTGCTTTCCGGCGCCAGGCGAAGACCTTTTTATTTAAGCAACATTTTAAATGTTAATACTACTGAATTTTATCTGGCCAGGGCGGCTTATTTTATATTGTGTGTATATTGTATTTTAAATTATTATTACTATTCTAATATGTATATTTTAATTTATGTGGTTTTATTTATTGTTGTAAGCCGCCCCGAGGCTTCGGCAAATGGGGCGGCATAAAAATGTTTTAATAAATAAATAAATAAATAAATAAAACATGTGGGCCAAAGGTGGCTGCTCCAGGGGGGGTCGGATGCAGCGGACTTCATCGGGGTCTCTGTACCTTTAAGTCACCATGGGCAGCAAGCTGATGGCACAGATGATGGCAAGCGGGTGGCACCTGCTGGGGATACAGGAGGGTCCCGATGGAAGAACTGAGCATCCAACCCTGGTGGAACACTGCGTCTGGGCCCATCTCTCCAACCTTGGAGCTGGATTCAACCTGCTGCCTTGAACTTCCATGGCGGAAGAGGCAAGCCGGGAGCCCATCTGCCAGCACAGTGGACATGATTCTACAACAGAATCTCTGCTGCCTTAGCCAGTGCTGAACCCTTCTCATGAGAAAGTGTAGACCGAGGGTCTCCAACTCGCGGCCCGCGGGCCAATTGCCGGGACGGGCAGGGCACGGGGGAGGGGCCCTGCGGCCTTCAAAGCACTGGCAGCACCCAGGCCGGCCTCCGGATGAGCAGCCCACCACCCCCGCGGTGGTGGAATACTTGATGCGGCCCAGCCGCACCCAGACTCTCCTTCCAGCAGCCCCCAGGTAAGTTGAGTCTGAGCCCCTGGTGTAGAACTTTTGTCCTCCCACTGGAGAAATCAGGTAAGATGCCCCCTCCTTTTTCTGGAGGATTTTGGAAGACAATTTTTTATATTTTTATTGTCTAATATTTTAATTGATATATTTTTGAGCTGCCCCGAGGCTTCGGCGAATGGGGCGGCATAGAAATTTTCTAAATAAATAAATAGATAGATAGATAGATAGATAGATAGATAGATAGATAGATAGATAGCATGGAAGATTTTGAGAAGCTAATTCCACTGAGTTCCAAGCACCACAGCTTTCCTGGTTGCCATTTGGTTTCCAGGTTCAAGTCCAGGTGTTCCTCTTAATCTTTTAATGATCTGTGTAGCCTATGACCTGATGATCCCAGTGAAAAAGTACTAAAATCTGTAGAACTGGCCCTTTTGAGGGCATCTGATGGGCATACTTGAAAGAGATTTCTCCTTTGTGGCCCCCTCCTCCAAATTATGGAATGTTCTTCCTCAAGAGCAATGAACCACCTCATTTTCTTGGCCTTCAGAGTTGTTGCACAGATATATCTTTTCAATGTATCTTCTAAGATGCATAGTCCTCAGAACTTAACCGTCTGACAAAATGTACAGAACTTTACCATCAATGATGAAGCAGATGAATTTGTGAAAGGTTTTGTGTCTCTTGGCTCAGTCAAAGGGAGACTGTAGCCAAGACGGAGACTTGGATGGCAGCAATGAAGGAAGTAGAGAAGATCATTAAACGTAAGCATGTTTCACCAAGGCCAAGGCTAAAATCATCCACACAACCACATTCCCAGTCACCATGTAGGGTCGTGAAAGCCAGACGGTGAGGAGAGCAGACGAAAGGAAAATTGGTGCATTTGAAAAATGGTCCTGGGGAAGAGCATCATGAACGCTGAAATGAGAGATGAACAAATGGGCCCCCGATCAAATCAAGACAGAGCTTTCCCTCGAAGCAAAAATGACAACAAGGAGGCTGTCATACCTTGGGCACATCATGAGAAGGCAAGGAGAAGACCATCATGCTAGAGAAAGTCAAAGGTGGAAGAGAAGGAGGACCAGGTAAAAGATGGTCTTCCTTTGACTCCATGAAAGAAGCCACAGCCTTGGATTTGGAACAACTAACCAGGAATATCATGGATAGGGTATTTTGCAGGGTTTTCATTCATAGTGTTGCCAGAACTCTGAGATGACTTTATGGCACATAACAGCAACAACAAGGATAGGCTGGACATGCACAAGGTAGGTATGCCGTGATCAGAGCTGGCTGGAACTGGGGGTCAGACTAGATGGACCGGGAGGCCCCTTCTGACTCGCTCTGTTTCTGTGTTTCTAACAGCAGCAGGAGCAACAACAACCATTCTCACTGTATTTATTACTATTTAGCTGTATTTAATGGTCATGTTTTTTAATTGTTGCAGAGTCTTGCTGCTTCAGATGGTTGTATATTAAAGGCCTCTGTAGAAGAGCACAGAAATGCAACAAGAAACAATCACATCTCTTGAGAATGTCCTATGAAGGGGAAAAAAATTTCACTGTGCTCCTTCTTGCTTTTCTAATTAAGACTGAAATCCCACCCAGATCAGCTCAACACAGCCCCCCAGTCCCTTTCAGTTGGGTGGCATCCTCATTCCTAACTAACTTTTATTTCCTCTGTTCTGGAGTGTGAACGATGTGGAAACAGTTAAAGCCAGTAGAAAGCCACACAACTAAAGCCACGCTATTCCCAAACTTCTGTCGTTCATTGTTTTCAAGCTATCACCTTTTATAGCCAGATAAATGTTTGCTCTCAGCCATCTGTCAGCACAGAATGCTTGGCAATGTTAATCCCAAGTGATGGATGTGCTCTGTGGACATCCGGAAGGGTACCTCTGGGGTCATTACTCACAGTTCCCTTTTAAAGGTGATACCAGGAATTTATAACAATGCCTGGCCTTGCTGGGATCAAGCAGAAGGGCCTGATGGACAACGACATCTACGGCTCCGGTTTCGATGAAATGTCATTGTAATGGCAATCACAACCTAATAATTCAGAAGATTCAAAAGACATGGGGTTACAGTTGGCTTTACCCTTTTCCTTACAGCACAATGAGCAGGGCTGGCTTGTCTCGCATTTCCATAAGAGTGCAGAGAAAGGGGCAGGAAATGGTAAATGCTGGTGGCATAGAATCGAGAACTTTGGCTTTGACACAAAAGCAAGTTGCTATCCCTTATGCTTGTGGAAAATGTGTGCAGTGACTACTAAAATCTCCTGTGATGGGTCTGAATATGATTTCCAGGGCATGGAGATGGGTCCTGCACTTCTGACTAATGAGATAATCAGAAGAAACTAATTGCATTTGTTCTTCAGTAGAATCCATGTCTCATTCATGCAGGGGGGAGAAATTTTGTCAGCATCACCCACTCAGTTCAGCACAAAATGGCCCCTGGACAGTAAGGCTTGTCCAAGGGACAAAGAAAAGTCAACTTACCTATGGTGGGATCGTGGTAGTCAGGGAACCGATGGCTTATGAACTGCATGGTCATTGCTGGGAAGACATAAAGGGAAAGAAGCCATGAGCCTATAGTCACATCTGCTGCTGCCCCCTATTGGGAGTTGAGGTAGGAGAAATGGATAGAGCAGACTGGGGACACCATGACGATGGAGTAGAACCTGAAAGAAGGCAACCAATTAGCCCAGGGGCGTGGAGGCATCCCTGGGCCTCACCACCATCGCCACCAGCATGGCTCTCTTCCGCTGGAGCCATTGTTCTCTGAAGGATGCGGGTGAGGGTGACCACACCATGACGATCACCCAGCCCAGTCTCACCTTCTTCATGCTCCTCCCAGCAAGCAGAAAGAGGCGCAGCTAGCGCTGGCGGGAACGCAACTCTTCCCGGCACTGGCTGAGTTGGATGACTCCTCTGTGTGCCTCCACCTACCCACCCTGAGGTGACAAGGGGACATGAGCTGATGGCCTGATTGCGCAGGACCTTCTTCTGCAGAAGACCTACAGAAGATGACTTCACATATATGGGATCAAGGTACTCCTCATTTTGCCCTTGGCTGTGGTAGCAGGTGTGCAGGATATGCTGAATTGGCCCAGGCAGGAATATGGTGCCAAGGTGCAGCTGCCTTCACCCAAGCACAAGGAATGGGATGGAAGGAAATAAGGAAGGAAGGAAGGAGAGAGATCGCACAGGTGCTGGGACCAGAGAATTGGTGAATAGAAATGGACCAGTAACAACCAGCTAATCTTGGGATGAGAGACCTGGTTAAAATAGCAACACGTCCAGGGAACCAGTGCAGTGCAGTGGTTAAGAGCATGGGACTAGGACTCAGACAATCCGGGCTCCAGTCCCCACTCAGCCATGGAGCCAACTGGGTGACTTTGGGCCAGTCACAGACTCTCAGCCCAACCTACCTCACAGGGTTGTAGGTGTGAGGATAAAATAGAGCTCTGTAAGCTGCCTTGGGGTCCTCATGAAAGGAAGAGGGTGGGATACAAATACACAGTAATACTAATTCCAGCACTAATACCAGTATCAGTACCAGTACTAATGCTGCATATATGTACGTGTATTCACATTTCAAAATATTGTCCTGTTTTCCTTCAGTAACTTTTAAACCTTGTAATTTAGCACTGAGTGTTGGTGGGGTGGGGTGGGGTGGGGGGGTCATCCACCCTAGATCAAATCTGCATTCCTCATTGTCCAAGTCCAGAGAGTTTCAAGGCTGTTTTGGGAGTGGCAACCAGAAATGCAAAACACAGAAGCACAGAAATAAAAACATAGCAAGTCAGAAGGGGTCTCCCAGGCCATCTAGTCTGACCTCCAGCTCTGGCCATCTCCGCTCATGTAATCCCCAGTCCCAAACAATCCTCCCCAATGCAGATCTTTATTGGCACTGTACAGCTAACAAGACAATGCAACTCTAGAAGTACCCTTCCAAGCTGAACAATGGCCTCTGCTTGTGTAGAGAATGAGTGAGAGTTGAACCCAAACTGGGAACTTACCCCCATTCCTTCTCTTTCATTAATGCTGCAGCTCCACCCCCAGGGTGGCTTTCACTGGTGGAGAGCCAGTCAGCAAGACCTGTGCAAGATCTTAAACGGGGTAGCTTGTCTGTTCCCGCACCTTATCAAGGGGTCAGGGACTGAGCAAGGCAAGGCAATGGCTCTCCCTTCTCTTCTGAGTTCTCTCCCATCTCTTCCAGAATGTGTCTGTTCTCATGGTCAGCCTGCAGAACTGCAGGCAATGATCTCAATGGCGGTTCAAACACTCCTGTCCTGCTCTGATGCATTGAAACAGAACTAATCAGAAGGGGTCTCCCGGGCCATCTAGTCTGACCCCAGTTCCAGCCAGTTCCTCTCATGACATGCCTACCATGTGCATATCCAGCCTATCCTTGAACACCCTCACTGATGGGGCTTCAACCGAAATAAAATAAGAAACAAAAAAGTCCACCGGTGCCAGCAGAAAAGCCCAAAAGAAGGAAATCACAAGAAAGCTCAAGGACACACAGTACTGCCCATTGCCATTTCCACAATGGTGCTGTGATGAGTGTTGACCATCTGATGCAGGCTGGAGTTCATGCATCAGAGGCGCAACCAAGTATCTTCACTGGGCGCCTAGCCTGTGTTAAAATTCAGGTCATGGCTATGTGGTTTATGCTACTGAGTTGTGATCTTTCCTTATTGGATCATATCTCAGCACCTGAAGGGTTAACCAGCTGATTGGAAAGTTTACGGATGATCCAGATTAAACATTTATTGCTCTGTTAATAGATGGTTTTACCTGCAGTGTGGGCAGATATGTTCAGGAGCCTCATTACAAATTCATAGTTGCTCTGCTGGAATAACTTTAAAGTTCATTTGCAATCCAGGTATCATCACGGATGAATAAAAAGGAACATACCTGGCCCTTCATTATTGCGTTCCATCTTATCTGCTCCCTGTTTTCTTTTCTTAACATAAGCTTTTCCTTGGAAATGTTCTTAACAGCATGCTTACCTCTGGGCCAGGGAAATCCTATGTGCCCCAACGAAGTCGAGAGCTCCATTGGATTCTTTGGGCTCAGCTCTGAAATCAGAGACAGAGCTCCCATCTTAGATTTGGGAAGCCACACCCAAGCTGGTTAGCTCCATCCTGCAGATGAAGAGGGGGAGAACCACACTGGCTGCTTCTCCAAATCCACAATGAGCCCCCACAAGTCTCATTTTTGGGATTTAATCATCCCTAAAAGGTGATTCTTCACAAGGCAATTATGGAGAAACCCAGGGTCTTGCAGACAGTTCAGCTCCTTCTCATTATCTTCTAGGCTGGGATGAGATTTGAAGACAGGACTATGCAGTGCTCTTTTAGGCCATGCTTGAAGGTCGTAAGAGTGGCCTTGAAGAAGGGCAAAGGCAGTGGGAGGGGTGGGGAGGAGGCCTGGGCCACAGGGGGTGCTCAAGCCACATTCTCTCCCCAACAGAAATGCAAGCAGCAGCTGACATCAGTCATTTCATTGACATTCCAAGATGCAAAGATCTTCTCTGCCCCTTCCCCAGAGCTGCTCGGGATGTCCATGATCCTATGAGTTTGGAAGCCTCTAGATACCTCAACTGGATCGCTCCCTAATAAGCCATCTTTGACCATATATACCTTGCATATCTTCTCAGCAACTCCCAACTGTATTCAGTGGAGATTCCTCCCACTTAAGTGACTAGAGGATTTTATTGATATCTGAAATTGATGTATTTGTCACAGGGCTTCAGGAGACAATGCACAGGGCCATCTGCTAGAGCTACTTGACAAATTATATCTCAGTGATTTCCGATATAAAAAGAATACATTACAGCTCACAGAATAATGTGTGGATCTAAATTTAGCCATACAATGGCTTTGTATCTCCCCAGTATCCTGATGGAAGTATCAGCTTAAAATGTATCAGAGAAAATGCATTTAAACTATGTGGTCAAATGTGAATTTGTACACAGGTAGTTTAAAGTCACAAAACAATGCAAAACTGGATAGAATCATAGAATAGTAGAGTTGAAAGGGCCCATGGAAGCCATCAGGTCCACCCCCTGCTGTTGCAGGACACCAAGTCACACCGTCCCACTCAGAGGGCTGCCCAGTTTCTCCTTGAATGTCTCCAGTGTGGGAGAGCCCACCACCTCTCTAGGCAGCTCGTTCCACTGTCTGACAGTGAGGAAGCTTTTCCTGATGTCCGGCCTGAATCTGGGTTGTTGCAACTTGAACTGAGTATTCCATGTCCTACAGTCTGACATCATCAAGAACAGATCTTGACCTTCCTCTTTGTGACAGCCTCTGAGGTACTTATGGAGGGATCTCATGTCCCCTTTCAGTCTTCTCTTCTCAAGGCTGAACATGCCCAGTTCTCTCTGTCTTTCCTCACAGGGCAGGGTTTCCAAACCCTGGATCATTTTTGTTGCCCTCCACTGGACCATTTCTAATTTACCTGCATCTTTCTTAAATCAAACACATATTGTATTTGTATTTTTTATTTTTAACTCTAGAATGGATACAACAAGGATGCAGATCTTACACACCCTCCCTGCGCCCCACCTGTACCTGCTTTAGAGAAAAAATGTGGAGGAAAGAGACAGTGGCTAGACACACATTTCCAATAACCGTTGCTTTGGCCCCGTGATGCTGTGGGAAGGGGAAGGATCACAGAACTCAGAACCACCTTGTGGCTTTTGGGAAAGGGCATCTGGGCTTGACCAAGGATTGGTCTCTTGTGCTGAGTAAACACGCAATAAAGGAAGAGGAAGATCAAGCAGCCACGTCTCCCACACATCCACCTGCTGTTTGATCATATGGTAAGGGAGGATTCTCATGCTGATGACAGGCCTTTTGGACTCATTCAAATACTAAGCTCATGTGCAAATGGCACTTACAGATAAATTAGAGACACTTATCTCTGAATTATGTATCTAGCGGAAGAGGCCATGGTATGAACATGGGGCTTTAAAACCAGAAGGAGTAAATGAAATGCACTAGTAAGGTTGGAATGGAAATAAATACATAAAGATGCAGAAGAGAATGATTGTGATACAAGGTATGTTTATTGTAGCAGGGGAGGTGGAAGGTAGGGAAAGCCAAGGTTCGGATTGAATTGTTGTTACTGTCTAAAAATCTGGATTTGCAAGTCCATCATATAGATATTTAATGAATATTTTATAAGGCAGTGAAGAACCTCTGTTTGGAAGCCATGGATTAATTGCATGACACTCATAAAAACAGAAAGATAATCATTTTTGATGATGGGGTGACTTCTTTAACCATTGTATGTCTGATGATGTTGATTTCCTGAAATGTATTTGGAAACATTTAACTTTGCTTTCTCCCCCAGTGGCAAAATTCATATCCCGCAACTAGAAAGCCAACATTCTGCAAACCCACTTTGAGAGGTGGCTGGGGAGAGCATTCGGTTTATATAAAATATAGGAGGAAATATGGAGTATTTTAGTTCTGTTCATTTCCATCGAATCTTTTCCATCTGTGGTGCAGCACATGTTCTGGGGAAAGGAAATCCCGGGT